TTCACATATTTCTTGTTCCTTCCTTTTGCCTCTTGAACTCCTCAGGCATTTGAGTTTTTACAACTCTTCAACACCTTTCTTTCAACTCTTTCAAGGTGATATTAATCCTTCTTTTGCTGGCTAAAAACGTTTGATAAGAAAGTCAAAGACATTCTAAAGTTGTACTTCTGGATACAATACATAATGATGCCACATGCATATAAGTACGTACATAACATCTTCTATAGTGTCGAAATCGGCAGGGATTCTACGACGCTCTGGGTGGTTCCGAGTGCATCAGAGGTGTTGTTTTTTATGTCTTGAGTACATTGAACGAAACGTTAAGAATTGTGAAATTTCTGGAATTTCCCTTGGCTTAAAAGTTTTTCATCTTGTAAAATTTTACGAAAATATTTTATATTTTGAGTAAATTATGTATGTAAAATTTCAAAATAAGTTATATAAATTCAGTTTTATCGACACTTGACATCAGAATTCTGACGAGATGCCGATGCATTTATAAATGAGTTGGCTATTTGTATTTGAGTGTTGGTGGCATAAGCTGCGTGGGATTAATGACAAGTAATTTTAATTCTGCTAGTATTTATGAATGGGATTTGAGAAAGGGATTTTAGTCGAATCCATCTCACACTGTGCTTTTCATCATTTTCATCAGCCACCAATCATGATCTGCTGCTCATCGCCTTGAATAAACACAACTTTGTGCTCTGTGATTTTCACAAACTCACCACATGAGGATGAAAGAAGGATAAATCGTGCGTGAGAAAATCATGGGATAAGTCGGAAAATCGACAATACTAAATTGAATTGTATGAATTCGTAGATTTCTGAAAGTCAGAGAGAAAGTAAAAAGCATAGGATCATGAGTCTGTATTCTTTGTATTATTGTTTAGTGGGCGTATATCATAAAATTTGGTGTGGCCTTATATTTCAAAAAATTCGCTGGTGGTATATAGTTTTAAAGTGAAATTTTTGATTCTTAAAAAATATTTATATAGAAAATATGATTAAAACAAAATGCTTTTTCTCTTGCAATGCGCAAAAATGATGGAATTCTACTTATTTCACAGTTGAAATTCCTTGATAATGTTTCTTCAAAAGCGAAACTTCCCAAATGAAAATATGACCCCTTTCAAAGTGTTGAAATTCTCACCCATCGGATACTTATTTTTGTTTCATTGATGCAAAATAGAAGAGAAAATTTAGAAGATCACACAGTCGCTGATTACTTGATTGAATTTCACTTCATCATCATTGTCCAAAATATTATACAATTCAACACTTTTACTTCTTGATGCACCCAATCGCATCTCATCGCATCGTGAGTGTCAAGTTATTAAGGTCTCAAGTGAAAAGCCGAGTCAGCGAAAAATCTGAGAAAGTTCTCAGCCACCAGCACCACAAACCAACCTTCATCCTCATCGCTGCTGAGGGTCTTCTTCTTTTTATTGTAGTCATAACTTGTGACTTTATACTTTTAATCCTTTAATTGAATTATCATATTTAATGGATATCTCTCAAGTGACTGAGTGACTGAAGTGGTTGGTGTGTGGTTTGCAGAAGGATAGGCAGGCATGCCCCCACCACACCGCATGCTTTTCCCATTCAGACTGCCAAACCGTAAATGATGCTCATGTTTCAAGCCCTTTTTAGGCCTGAACCCTGCTGCTGAAGAGTCAAGTGAAGTTATGACGGAGGGAGGATGAAGGATGATGAATTTTACATTTTATTTGATGATGAGCAACCAACTCTTCTTATCCCTAATGAATTTAACTTTCAACTTACTTACTTTGAGGCCGGAGAATTAAAAATAAAGTTACAAGTCGCAAGTCGCAAGTAAGTGTTAAAAGTGGCTGAGTGGCAGCAAGAAAGAACAGTTTTGAAGAGTTAAGGTTGGTAGCTTGACTTTGACTTGAAAAATTTGTTGGGGTGGAAAACCGTGTTAAATTTTGAAATGCGATGTGCAGGGATGAGAATTTAATATTAAGATCTTTGTACTTCATTTATTAGGCGCAGTAGGAATGCAAATGTGATGAATGCATAGAATTGAACTTTGTTCCAGTATTTATTTAACTGCATCATCACAGTTTTACATTTTGTATTCATTTACGTATGTTCAGAATTGAGAATTTAAGAGTAAATACAATTGGAAATATTTAAATTGATGCATTTTCATAAGAACTCGACTCGTTATAAAAATTGGAGTGGTACGAAGGAAAATGCGATACGATTACAGTTACTCGTGCATCTAATTTGTAAGGTCAATTACGCACACCTTCCATTAATTAAGAAATAATTCTCACAATTGCTCGTTATTCTTGTGCGATTGTAAAACTGGAGCGTATAATTGTTACGACATGGCCTGGGCCCCACTGCTGACGAGCAATGTTCAATAATTAAAATAAAACAATTATTCCAACGACTGACTACCTACTACTACATGGTCAACAGTTATGCAGTATTATTGACGTAGAACTTGTTTTTCCTCTTCTTTCTTTATTTTGAGGTGCAATAAAATAAAATAATCCTGTTGTTGTGAAAATTAAAAGTTGGCTGCATTGGATTACGCCGTGTTAAATCTCATAGAGGTGAAAATCCGTTGATTTTATTGCTCTCACTTTAAAGGTCTGTCTTATTTACGAAGGACCAAAAGCGGCCACTGCGATGGATATAAAATAAACTTCTGTTCTGTGGAGTGGGGGATCGCGATCGAGTGAGTCAAGTTTCCGCCTTATCATTGATGATCTGTTCATTCTGTGCTTATACACATATTCCGTTTTGATAAAAGATTGTACTGTTGCTACGTTGGTGAGGAGGCAAACCTTCTTTTATGATGGAGGAAGAGCAGGAAAAGTCACAGAATTTATTGACTTGGAATTTTATTACCCTTGTGGCAATTTATTTATGTTGGTTTGCCGAATATTGCTATTGTTTGTCGGTGTAAGAAGGAGGGTGGTGAATTTGGGAGGGATGAGACAATTGACATCGGTTCAATTGGTATGAATTCATCCAAAGTCAATACAACGATTGTAAAAAAACAAGTATCGAAATTGATACGAGTGAGAATTGTATCACCGTGTTGATAAGTTTGCACCTCTGCTTTTAAGTTGTTTGTTGAACTTGAAATTATATTGATTGTTGAATATTATTGCCCAAAATTATTTAAAAATACAGGATTTTGCCGTCATTTTCATGAGTTGCTGTATGAGTTGCTGCTTTAACCAGTATATATTCTGTACGCATTTACTCTACAACTGGATTTACTTATAAATTAATTTACTCACCCTCAATCATACAATTAAAAGTGGTGGACCCATTATTAAATATAATTGAGTGACATTGACATCGGCATATTAAAAGGCTTACGATGTTCAGCTGGAGTCACGATCGTAAATTTATTACTGAGCATGAAATCCATTTTATTATGCTTTATTAGTACAGGACAAAACCTTTAAGAAGTGGTATTTTTAACATGCCGTATGAAAAAGTGTATGCATTTGCTTGAAAGTATAAAATGTTACCCGTGTTGGTTTTATCATTCATGGATATGTCTTACGGAATGGGAGGAATGATCATATGAAATAGATTTAAAGCAACAGAATAATAGAACATCGGTCTCACAGTATAAAGATGCTGTCGTTCCTGTTCTCTTGTTCTGCTGCATTGTTTCGTTGACTTGACAGGACGACTGCTGGAGAACTTGTGCAGCTAACGACGACGAGTTGGAGGGGTTAAAATTCTGAATTGTCTAATTTGAGCATTTGGGGGTTGAACTGTCGAATTCTGTTGAATTCAAAGGGTGGAGATGTTAAGGCGATAATCCGTTCGAAAGATGAGAGATGAGATAGTAAATGGTGGCAAGACTTATGCCAACCACTACCGTTCGTATAGTTTATAGCTCGACTTCACCTGGACTTTTTATTCTTCCAAGGGACGCATGATTTTAAGAATAAAATAAATAACCTAGAGTGCAGGCTTCATTTAGCCCGAGTCAGGAATAGAATTCTGTTCTAAATTTCTGTATAAAAATATGCATCTGTGCAAAATTTGGACTCTATCCGTTCAGCTGTTATCGTATTTCAGACGGACGGACGGACAGACACGACGATTCCATAAGCCCCGACTCGGGCTACCAACATACAAACATGGGACGCGCATGAGAATAAATTATCCCACACAAAATTCAGAGTTTATTTTGTAGCGAAAATAGTAGTCAGAAATATTTTTAGTTTCGTGCCTTTTGTCAAAAAGTACATCTCACATGCTTCTCAATATTTTAAAAAATCATCTCGCAGCTTCTTCTCGCATCAAAGGTTGGCTTGGCCCAACTATTTCCATGTTCATGTCAATTTATGTCATCCTATCCCCTCTAAAAGCCGGACGGATGAAGCAACTGACACTGACATTGACACCCCCAATTACCTCCGACTTGGCATTGTTTGAGGAAGCCTTATGTCATTCGACCTTTTTATCTCTCTCCTAAAACACACGCACCATCAGCTACAATCCGAGTGAAAAGAAAGACACGATTGTTTCTCGTGATAGTAATGAACTTGAATTTTTAAGCCAATGGATTGAAGAAAAGTCGTATTAAAAGTCAAAGTCAAACATTTGCTTCAACTCTTAAATAGAAGATTGTTTATTTAGACATTGTTTAAGCTCGATCTTTATATATTTATTCAGGTTGTGCTAGGTAAGTAATAGGGTCAACTATTTGAAGCTACTGTTCAAGGTGCACAGCCAGTTGGAATAACGGAACCTTAATTTCGAGTGTCACATGCAATTGGTTTCGTGGGTAAGCCTAATGATCAGATTAGATCTCGGGCCGTCACACTTTTATTAACCTCCATTCCCCTTCTTGTTGTCTTAAACCCAAACTCACAATCATGACTTTGTTGTGGTGTGGTTGGTTTGAAATGGGAGGATATTGTGACATTTATCTGATAAGTGAATGGATAGTGGGAAATAGGGACAGGTGACAAAAATTGATGAGACAAATACTCGCGACGACCGAACTTACTGAACTCAATAAGCAGACAAAAGTGAACATGGGAAAGTATTTATTTTAGAGTTAATTAGATTGATTTTTTGGGGGGAGGGAAATATCCACAACTTTTAACATTGCAATCTTTAATTGTTGCTTAAAACTTATTATCGACGCTAAAAAATAATCACAACTTGTTGGACGGATGGAATTACAAAAAAAGGTAAAATCAAGTGAGAAGGCATAGATCAGATTTTTTAGAGTTTTTTGACTCGTCGACATCGACTGGTTCCAGAAACAATATCGCCGCGTCATTTCCCGTCTTCCTGCTCTCATTATCAGTGCTGCAGCAACAGTCGCCTCCAGCAAATTGGAAAGAAGAAGCCTTCGATGACATTTTTTGCGAAACGTTCAACGGGTTCTTCTTCTTACTCCTGCGGGGTGTGAGATAGTCGTGGTCTTGGTCATTCTCTGAGAGTGAGAGAGACAAAAAATAAATACTTGGATGGAATGGAGGAGATTTTTATGAGATTATCGATCAGACTGAATCTGATCCATCCTGACTACACGAAGAAATGAATGAGGTAGCGGAATGTTCATGTTCATCTCAAAAAATCTGATTTTTTTACACTTCATGAACCAATTCAATTTAAAATTCTGACCCAGTTTGCATGATGCATACCTTTTCGTCCTTCATCATTCGAGTACAAGTCTACCTCGGAATCTTCCTCGTCCTCTTCCATGGAGCAGTAATTACAGTTGCAATAATGAATTGGTGGCGATGGGGAGAGTAGCATATCGTTATCTGTATCGCTAAACAGTAGGGCATCTCCCCCACCACGATTTAAGCACAAATCCGTCGACTCGGCTCGATTGGTGATACAAATCTTGGTGGTTTCCGAACTGGAACACTTTTTGAGTCCACTACTTTCACCAACTCTGCTTTTCCCACGATCCGAGTTGCATCGGGTAGTAAAACAGCTTCCATCTCCGTGGTGGTCATTTCTCCCCCTCCCTTCTGTTTCCTCCTCCTTGGTCCACTTGACGGTGGTGAGAGTGTCGTCCGACTCGTCGAAACGTAGGACGGGATACCATGAATCACCACGAATTTTTGTACAACGACGACAGTCTGACATCCTTTGGGTTTCTCCAAACCATTTGAAATTCGGTACGGGGAGACGACCCTGCAATAAATTAGGTCCCGTTTAGTATGGGTGACACGGCATCACTGGCATTTGGCACTTTCTCTCTCTCGACAAGTGCCAAACTGCACCACTTACGAGACAATCGCCCATGATGTGGTCAATTCCGAGCTATTAGCGGTATATTCCAGTTATAAATAAGTAAATTACACTGTTAAATCAGGAATTCTAATAATCCAGACAAGAAACCATTCGCCGTGTTGTACATACGCCAAGGTATTTTGGTTTCATAAAAATATGCGCAACGTAACGTGTCAGAGTTATTATTCTTACGGACACCTGCTTATCGCCATGGGGAAGGAAGGAGGTAAAAGTCCCCTCCGGAGTGCTGCTCTGCTGGAAGTTCGCACTTTCCCAAAGCCGTTTTCATCCATTAGGTGTATCTCTTCTGAAATTAAAATAGACATCCAACATCTGCCTCTTCGCCTCAGTCTCTTGCACCAACATAACAGCATCCAAATTAAAAGGTTTCATCATCCAAGCTTCTGTTCTTGTTCATCCCAACCCAACTACATGGTTGCCTATGTAAAGTTTATATACCAGCAATAAAACAAAAACTATGTACTACCACATTCGTTTAATTAAGGGCCGATCTTACCCTAATTTCTAAATAGGGACCCTTTTGTGCATGGTGGGTACTTCACCTCTCAATGATGCGATAGGAATCTTAATTGTTCTATTTTGGAAGTAAAGGGTAGCAGTTAGTTATAAGCTTGAATTACGAAATGTAAATACAAGTTCAGTTACGTGGGGTAGCAGCCATAAGACTACTGCTTTTGACAATTCTTGCCACATTTTTTAACTCGTTTACTCGGTGGTAATTTAATGGGTAGTGAATTTATGGGTTTGACCACCAAATTTTATTGTTATTACGTATTCTTCAAGACTGCATTATAACTCGTATGAAGTTAATTAATTTACCAAGACTGCCTGCATAACGTGGCGTAGTAAGTACTGTAATAAGCTCGTAAAAAATGCATGCATATTTATGTATGTGCACGAGACTTTCTTTTGTTGAAAGGTATGCATTTAAATTGTGATGGAATTTTTAGTGTAATATTAAAAAAACATTGGAAGAGATCAACATTTTTTCTGTATCGTATCTGCTCGACGAGTATCTTGATGCTATCTCAAGTATCATAATGCTATCTTTATTTATGGATAAATTGGGCAGTGAATTGATGCCTACGCAAATTTCAACGCGAGTAACAACCTCCTGCTGAAACCGGTGAGATGAAAAACACTTATCCTCGTCTCAAACTGGAGACCCGGTTTGTAAATTTTGATGAAAGTCGTATCCATCAAATGCAACAAGGAAATTACAAGGTCGGGGACATTTAGAAATGCTGTTGCGAGTCAGACCAAGCTGAAGAAAGTCTTCGTGCATTTTGCAATCTCCTCCACTCGTAATTGAAGGCATAAGTTGTAAAAAACGTCTGCTCGTCTTTGGTCGTCATCGCAGGCAGGCAGCAGGCACAGGACAGATAGACACGTAGATATATGTTACATAATGCATATTCGGTTGGTCATATACGTACAATGGAGAAGAAAACACCAGACTGACCGCATCGCAGTTGGTTTTTGAGTCTTTTGGCTGCTTTGGGGTTTTTAGGGTATCATAAAGCCTTTTTAGTGGGGAAGGAATCCGAGCTGGAAGAGTTATGGAATTACTTCTCCGTTCTCTACACGGAGCAATAAAACAGGTCAACTTCACAAAATTTTAACTCGTGTGGGCATTTAACATTTTGACCGATAAAGTATGGTCAATAACAATCAAATTTGAGATGGAATCCTTCAGAATACGGAATGAAGGTAAGTAGAGGCAAAGAAGGAAGGAATTTTTTGAGCGTACGGATAGGTACTTATCTTAAGTTGCTATTTAAATGCTGGCAGTATGTATGTATGTATGTACATATGTAGTTGTGTGCATAACATCCATCATATATTTCATGTACGGGAAAGAATATTGATATTTTGAACAGAAAACTCGTTTTATTAGAAACAAACGTTGTTTTCGTAAACAAATCATGAAAAATTCAAGGTATTAGGTGATGCAAAGGTATGAAATAAATTGGTCATGAGGAATTTAATTTACATATATCGCCACTGCATGAATGTCACCGAAGGAAAGGTAAAATGAGTCTAAAAAATGCATGAATTGGTTAAAGTTTATACGTGTAGGTTTTTAGGTATGAGAAATGGGATGGGATTTTAATGTTGTAGTGAGCTGCATATATGCTAATAAAAAATTCAAGAACTTCAAAAAGAAATTCAAGTATGAAAGTAATTGTCAAATTGTCAAACGTATTTTACAATGTATCATAAGGTCATGCTACAAAGGTTTTCATTGTTAAATACTATTTTAAGTAGTCGAAATTAGTAATGCTTTAACAGTAATAGTCCAGGAAGTCGGGAGGCAGGTTGAGATCCCAGCATCACCTAAGAAAAATCTCCTGGAAGTTATGGAAAGTACAATCGTTTTTAAATATCCTTCGTAAAAATTCAGCATTACGATTTCAACTTGTACTCGTAATTTTTCTAGATATGTAACAAGCAACATAGGCCATGAAACCATCCGGAATGCGTCCCATTGAAATTGCAAAATTAATCCGTACTCCTCGCCCGACTCCGCCTTTACACTTTCGCCTTTCCGAAAACAAAGCTAATCTGCAGCCAATTTGTTTGGATGAAGCAAGAATTTCTCCGCCACCATCAAACTAATCCAACTAATACCTTTTCCTCCCATTGTTTATTTAATGTTTTGAAAGATGGATGGAATGGCTGAACGCGTTGTTGATCTCGACCAAAGTATCAAATTACAGATTGCAGCCACTCACTTAAGTCGAGAGAGAGGACGCATTGTCTCAACAGATAATGATGATAATGATGTCGAATGCCATGCCGGTGAACCGACGGATTGGACGGATCATGATGATGATGATGTCAGCATATGAACGAGGAGGAGGAGACCAAAATGATGATATTTACGATGAATTGACCTATTCGTACCGGACTTGACTAAATACCACTTGCGGAGACAAGATCAATTCAAACTCCGCTATGTTACGTTATGTTTGCCGTATTCCAATATTTATTCTCTTCTTTTTTGTTTTCGTGAGTGCGATGTTGAATGGTTAATATAATGAGTCGAGTCGTCGTCATCGTCGTCGGCTCGGTCACCTTTTTACCGCATCCATAAAGTTGTGTGTAGCTTATTAGTCGTTATTTATGGGAACATTAAGATGGAAAAGAGATGAGCGTTGAGCCTTGTTAGGCAACAATATATTTTAATGTCAAGTCAGGTCAGAGTCAACGCAGCAAAGTCATCGCCTGCATATTCAAAGTAGCAGCATTTGCACGGGCCGTACCGCAATAAACAAGGCAAGGATTAAAACAAAAGTTGTAGAATTTGAATAATTTTTTGAACTCTGTTCCTCGCCGCGGCATGACCTGGTCAAATATTACACGAGATAAGTAATACCCACACATTTCTGCTCTCGGTAAAAGGGAGTGGACGGTAATAGTATCATGTTACAATTATTATTACGTATTCTGCCAGCATAGACAAGTATGACGAGGCGGAATAATTGTCAACATTTCCGAAAATGATGTGATTTCAAAAAAATAACTCTTCCTGCATAACCCTCCATAACATGCATCATTTTTTATATACAAAAAATATTGGTATTTTGGACACAAAACTCATTTGAAACAAACTTTGTTTTAACAACGTTTTGGGAGTACAAAATTTATTCCAGCAATCCCTAAATACATGTGACCTGTAAACTTATGCACATTTTATTCCATATCCCTATAGTCACCATTATATCCAACGATGAATAAAAATAAATGTCTTAAGACGAAAAAAGCCACATCCCTATGGATCAGTCTGTCCATTCTTGCCCGTCACAATGATCACGGCATTTCCTGCAATTAATCATATATAGATATATTACTATTATTACACATAAACATAAAGAAATAAGCACTTACCGTATTGACGCACCAACTTCAAGACATCCAACGGGGTAACAATAGTTGGTGCTGCTGCCATGCTGTCCATTTCCACCCACTGGTCTTCAACTCGTCGTACTGCAATCCAGTGATTCCCTGGGTTGTAGATGAATCCAAGGGATGAATCAATATCGAATTCATCCGATTGTCTTGACACTTGGTAATGGGCGAAAACCAGAGCACGTTCCAACACCTCCACACTATAATCTCCGATGTCGCCACCATACGCCCCCTTGTCCAGCTAGAAATATTTAAATGTTTATCATAAATTATGTAAATCATATTATTGATATATCTTAAACTACTTTTCTACCTCTCCTGTATCGACTACGTCCCTTTCCGCTTCCTCCAAGTTGGCTGCGATATCTTGAAAAAAATCTCTCGTGTAAACCGGCCCGTCTTGATTGAAGTTGTTGACGGCATTCATGCCACAACTATTATGGCCACGAGATTGCTGAAATGGTATAAATGTTATCAGTTATTGATTTCATTGATTTGTATAGAAATAGAATATTATTACCCGTTCAAATCGGACGGAGGATAGGAATGAGGTCGGGGTTTGTGGAGCTGATGAATCCGGATAGGATGAATCTTCAAATACATCATCGTCATCCGTAAACATGTCGTCCATCTCCGAGTAGTCAGACTCTTCCCCATCTGTAGATTCTTCTTCTTCCATCTTGTCCAAGATAACTTCTGTGATCTTATCCCTATTTGGATGCATCATAGCCGAATAGGGTTGACCTGGGTAAGAATGGTCAATTGGGCAGGGGACAGATGGATCCAGGAGGAAGTGGAATGGTCGACGAGATCTGGTGGACGCCATGGCAAGAATATGGCTCTTGATCCGGGGATTGCAATCCATAAAAGTGTCCACCTCGGCATGTTTATTCGCAATACAATATTTCAATTTTCCCACTTGAGAGTTGCGTGGTGTGTGGGGGCTGATCCACGAGAAATAAGCCTACAAAATTAAAAAATACAGTAATTACTTTAGGATACATCTAAATACGGATAAATCCAAATATACTCACAATAACTACTGCTTCCAATGTTGCAATTCCCTCCCGTGCTGCCCTTCTAGTAGGATAATTCACCTCCTCGACATGAATGAGGAATGGACGCCCGCCTTCGTTAACTTCACGTCGGATGGAAGTCCGTACATCCGGGTTGAATGTAAAAGCGGAAGGTTCTGGGCGCCTGTATTGAAACAAATAAACAATTATTTTTAATAATAATAAATCATTGCAATGATAAATTAGTTTGGATTTGCCTCGAATTCCTTCCAACGTAAAGTGGGATCGACATACTATCGTCGTCCTCGTGGTCACGTAGCCAGTCATAAATTTCAGGGCAATGACCTGTTTCATCCGGTTGGATATGACGCACCAGTTCCTCAGGTATGATGACGACAAAGTATAGGTACCGTCGTCGAAAGCGTCTTGCTCCATCCTTCACCTTATCGGTTATCTTCAGATATTCATTCATCTCCTTGTCACGTTCAACATCAGCTGCAGCATCCATAGAGTTGAGATGAATCCGTGGTGGATTTATCCGAAATGGAGTAATTCTTCTCATAACCTCAGGAGGACTGCAATTTTTAACAAGAAAGCTTAAATTTCAGCTGATTAAGTAAACATTAAGATAGATAGTTACATGGGACGTGTCTGGTGTGTCAGCCATTCATGGACCCGTTGCTTGACCTCATTATTACGAATTTGCCTGTAAGGTTAGATAAATCAGATATTATGATATATGGTATAAATTACTGTAAATATACAACTATAAGTAAAAAAAACTCACCATATGTATAGTTGTTTTCTCCAAGCTGGCATTGTTTTACACTCCTTTCCATTTTTGTATCGATACAAATCCATTCCGGATCTATCACTTTCTATGTGGTCATATCGAAGTTCATATGACGAACCATTTACGATGATATTCACGATGTCATCTGGATTAGGGTTTGTAATTCGGAGCCGATTCCTTGTCCTTTCGATTATCCCCTGCCTGCCATAATTAATTAATAATTGACAACTACTAATGGTGCATCATTGCATGATGAAACATACCAGTTTTTTATGTCATTAATAATTGCTGATCTTGACATATGTTTCATATTTATCCTGTCTTTATACACGTACATTCTTCTAAATTTTCCACGACTTCGCTGCTTTGACATCCCAACCTTTACCAACTTGTAACTTTTTCCTTCGAGCTCCACATCTTCATCCGTGACGGATTCAGGTGATAAATGAGGAGGAGTTGGTGATCGTGCGAATTGGGGAGGTCTATATCGGTACCTGTTAGAAATACATAATTATATTCAACTATTGAGTTAATGATTAATGATCCATACTTACCTTATTTCCAATGCAGCTATTAGTGCTTCCGCTGACCTGGGAGATGGATTACGTTGACCTACAACTTTGTACATTTTTTTTCCTCTTTTTGTTGTGTGAGAATACACAGCCTCCGTTTTGTGCGTTTTGTATCGAAACGTTACAGTTTCGCCAACTGACGCATCCGATGATGGATTTATCTTTTCTGCGGATCGTGACCTATAATTCATACATTATTTAGCATCATAATACATCCTCATTGGATAAATTGATACAAAATTAAATCTTACTTGGTACTGGTGGACGTCTTAAATCCAGAGTCGGTGTTCTCAGACACGTCAGCAGCAGATGGTTGAGATGAAGGCGCCGCAGCTGATCTCGTTAAACGACGAGGGGGAGGTTGTTGAGTGGACTTTCCGTCAGAGTCAGAATCTGATTTGGATGATGACGAAAAAACATTCCTGGAAACGGTCTTCTTCACCTTCGTCTTCCGCTTCCTACACATTTTTAGACAAAGTATTGGACAAACTGTAATATTTATCTGCAAAATAAATAAAACCAATTACCTCTTTTTTGGTACTTTCTTGAAGTCAGAATCATCTGACTTTGAGTCATTAGATGAATCCGTCTGGATAACTCTTCCCCTCCTCTTCCTTCGTCGCAGTTTTGGCTTAAGGGGTCCGTCGATAACCTCATTTGCAGATTCGTCATCCGAGGAGACGGGTGGAAGTGGTAATCGAGTCATTTCGTTATGAAAATAGTTTGAAAGTTGAATTTAATTAATGTTCCAGTTTTTGTAATAATAGAGACAGCTGCTCTCCAAAATGTCCTTGCACGGATACTGAGCACACGAGCAGCCCGCCGTATTATCACTCATTACTTTGCGTTTTGACAAATTGTCATCAACATCCAGTCGGATTTTGATAATTATACAGTCTATTTAAATGAATGCAAATTTAGATGAAAGTATAATTTGTACATGACGTAATAAGTAAAATTTGGATAAAATCTTATCATTTTACTTCAAGTCTCATGATACACCTTTGTCTCACATTTCACTGCCCAATAAAAATTGCCTCAAAAAACACCGCAGTCTTTTGAGGGTCTCCACTCCCGTGCATACAAAAATAATATCCAGCTCGTAAAAATTTTATTTTTTTATCATCCCAAATTTATTGACAAGTATTCGGGTAAGTTATCCATTATTAAATTTAGATGAATCAACTTTGATATATCAAATGATGTAATTGAACCTGATGGACAGATGTGCATTTGGACAGACATGTGTGTATTAAATAAGTAAACTCTTATGTGCGCTACAGTAAATAAAAATGCTAATTGCTCCTCCTTCTTTGATAATGTTTTTGTGTGTAATCATGTAACGGGTCGTTGATAATGAGATGTAAAAGGCGGAATGAAATATGAGATGGAATTATAATTAAATTGAAGTGTGTATAGGTATTGATAATGGATAATGGTAATGTTTCCATCGCACAGTCTGTTATCACGTTCACCCTAAAAGACTCAATTTCAGGAAATTTACGTCTACCCACCCGCATAATTGGACAAGATACATTATCTCGTAGTACGTATTTCATTCGAGGAAAAAGGTTGAATATTATGTTATGCATGTAATAATATTGGTTCATTTGATGAAAGTTTGGCTTTATAGGAAGTAGAGAAACCGTAATATGCACTAAAGTACCAAAGTGTTAACGATAACTTCGCATGTCTTTGGTCCACTCGGTAGTTCGGTGATGGTGTGGTTCGGTAGATTGGATTAGCTTTCTTCTCCGTGGCAATCTATCAGCCGGCGTGGTGACCGTTTTTATACTGACAGAAATGCTTATGTTTATTTGTTAACCAGCTTATTGAGCCGTGGAATGGAAGGCTTGGACAAATATAAAATTATGATATGCAAATTATATTTCCTTTTATCACGGAGGAGTTTACAGTCGAAAGGGTTTAAACGGGTTATATTTTAGGGGGAATAAATCCTATAATTGTCCCGTGTGCGCCTTACGTTGGAAAATTGTGTGGCTGGCTTTTGCCAGGTTTTTACGAGACAGGGGAAAGTTTCTGAAGCAAAATATGGCTTTCTTCTCGAGACAATAAAAGGCTACACACTTTCTGAATAAAATGGTAAATTGGAGAATGGACACTAAGGAGGAAGAAGGAGTTGAATTAAAAAAATATTGATCTCACTTGGATCAAGAATATGTACAGTGGTTGGTCGTATGGGGGTTTTGATGCGTGTGAAAGTTCAGTAAAAAAATGTGGAATTCGGAAGTAAGGAATGAGTACCTATTTAATTTAAATATGTAAAGATAAGTATTGGGGACGACTGTAACATATAAAACCCACATTTTGTATACCTCGGCCATTTAATGTACTTTCCCAATACTTGATTGTTTCTTAAGAAATTAAAAAACATGAATGACCATAAGTTATTCACACCATGCACAGAATAGGAATGAGTCATTCTCGGACAGGTAGAAAAGTTTACGGAATGTGTATGTATTATTTCTTCCTTATTTTTCATTCATATTCACAGCGTTGAGTTTTGCAAATAAGTTACCACAAGAAAAGTATGAAGAAGACGAGGAAAAGATGAACGAGGAAAAGATGAACGAGGAAGGAACATGCATCCTCTCATCTCATCCCCTCGTCGTACTTATCCTTAATTTATATCCGCATAAACATAAACATAAACAAGACACGGTTAAAAGTTTCACGCTTGTGTACGTTCCTCTTTCTGGGATTTGTAATTGCTTATACGATGCTTCAAACTTGAGATGAGGGAACGCAAGGTGAATATTTATGAATAGTAAATTACTCTTAATGCATTCGAATTTTTTTAAATCGCCACGTACGACATTGCATATACACATTGTTTAGTAGATATCTTTAAAGGTGAGAGAATATGGGGAGTGTGATAAGTTAAGAAATTTTTTAAGCCAACATTTTACAGTTTTGTTTAATACAATCTGAAAAAAGTAATGTACTCGTGGGTAATGTTCACCGGTGGTGGTGATTTGAAGGAGGTGATGTGATGTCCCTATCAATAATTAATGTTGATGGTTTGCTCGTCGAGCATGGCTATTTAATTTCTTCTCGTCCGGTTTAATGGTGACTGTCCCCACACGCTTTCAAGCTCAGTGACACCAGGGAAGGATAACAATTTGTCATCAATGCAGCACCACAACTTTGTTAAAATTTCGAGTCCCACACACTACTATTTCACAGCATGGGTCCAGCAACTTGTAGTTGTACTCGTGGATATATGTACGAGGTAGGATTATGGATGGACCAATTAGGCAAAAAGTTTAAGGATTGATGGATTTTGTTCAGAAATTGATTGTCTGTACATGGTAAGAGAGAGAGTGGATTTTTTTATAAATATGCCTTTATAAAAGGTAATATTGTTTACGAATTAGTGGGTTTATTCAAATGAGGAAATACTAAATATTACATAACTTTGTGTATAGTTGAGTGCTGATAAAAATAATGCTGAGCTTTATCAAATCCTGCAAATTTTTGTTTCGAAATTGAAAACCCAACGTATCGAGGCAGGAAGTGAGAAAAGCTGTGTGGTGGCTGGTGACACGTCCAAAGGAAATGTCTCAATTCATGGGATGATGAGCCACCAAGCAAGGCGAACGATGCATGAACTCGTTTTATTATTCACATGAACTTAACCCCTGATCTGCTTGTTGCCAGTTTATGTAGAAAATTAGTCACATCTCCTCTGAAAACCAACAACCCTTTTACTCTTTTGGACAAAAATGTATGTAGATACATGGCGAATGTGATATGCTTCTTGATTCTGCAGTTTTATTCAACATCTTGGTGGTGGAAACAATGAGGGGTTTTTTTTGTGGCGTGATGATATGCGCGTCAACAACATAACGTCATTTTACAATTGACGCTTAAAACGGTCTCAATTTGGGCGGATACACGGTCAGTCTTATTTAGAAAAGTATATAAAATTCTGGTTATTACATAATTTTCTCGGGATTGGTAAAAATTTTTTGGTAAAATTCTGAATAATTTTTGGCACCTTGTACGCATAAATATTATTCAATCCACGGTTAAACAAGGTTGGTTTAAAATTTGGCAAGGATATACACATTCCGCTCATTTCATTTTAGTGGATCTCAAGCTGTTTGTTTTGTGTATAAATTTGTCACAACAGGTAATCCTAATTACCTAAAACTGGTTTTGTCTCTGACTTGGTTAAACCAGCCAACAAGGAAAAAGTGCATTTCATTCGCGTCTCTCTCGACGACGAAATCTAAACAGAGCATCTGAAAAGTTGCGGTTGACTGCGTTGGAATTAATTAAAACTATGCACTCGTTTTTTTCTTCTGCACCTTGTTTTTCACACAAGCTTCTATTTTCACTCTGAGAGTGCATCAGAAACACAAACACCTACTTACAACGATTTGTCGTCAATTTTCATTTTTAGAATAATTGTCTTTACCACGCTAATTGTTGGGTAATAATGGGATGAGATTTTTGGGTTGATTGCGCCCACTCGGTCAATGTCGATATACAATTCTTTCCGAGGACATCCCACGGCTGGATTGTTCCCCGTATTTGAAACTGCATACATAAATACGTGAGGTGAGCACACTGTATGTCATCCGAATCTTTTTTATTGTTTGTTGGATAAGTTATATAAATTCTCACTGATTCTCAAACAAGTCAGTTTGAGTATAATAACTGGAATTTCTTTTAAACCCACATACCAAAACAAGATGGATAACGACAATTGTTCCCTTTAGATTTTCTGTTTTCAATGAAATTCCTCATTTTTTTCCTTACACAAGGAAATTTATTCGGATAAAATGTTAAAAAGCATTCCACATCATTGTCCATGATTTAATTGTCTTAATTCCATTTTTTTTTACTCATTGCACGTCTTTCGTTGTTGTCGTTGTCAGCCAAACTTAAGTCACGTCAAGTTCTTCAAATAGGTGACATTGACTCGAAGGAATTTGCAGAGGAGACAATTAGAATTATCCAACAAAAAATGAACTCAAAGAACTGCTTAAAAGCGGAGTAGTTAAGAAGACAAGGCTGACAAATAGGGAATATTTGTCAGACATGGTAAAAGTATAAAGTCAAAAAATACATAATGCAGACTGAGAAGCTAACGAGAAGCTGATTTTCTTAAACCAACAACCAGCAAAGCAAGTCATCTCTCCATTCTGGGATTTGGTTTGGTGATCTCTGACACGCCGTTGGTCTGATCTTTTGACAAATCTTTCAACGATCCAGATTCCTTCTGCTGCATTCAATACAATTGAATTACCTCGACTCATCCGTCCGCTGTAATGAATGATGAATTAGGATGAATTAAACAAAGTTGTAAAAGGTGACATTCCTTCGCCATTGTTGGTTCGGATGGGTACGTATTTCACACGATTTTATTTACCATCAATTTTTGGAATTGAGCTAAAAAAATCTGGGGGCGGGGGCTTGTTCTACAAGTAGGCTGCAAGTGTGTACATATATGAAAATTCTATGCCAATTATAAGTGCAACACTTCAACCAGGTAAAATAGATAGTAGGTGAAGTGGCTGACTCACTTTTCCATCGAAGCCAATGTTCATCCATTCCGATGATAAAAGACACAAGCGACTAAAATAGGCGAAACAAATAACTTTTTGTGTGTAATTCTTGACGTATTTGTTTAGTCATTTAGTCAGAAATTCACACGCCATGATTGCACAACGACAAATTAGATAATACGCAAAATTAGATAAATTTAAAATTTAAAATCAACTGGATAAAAAATCAGGACCAAAATGATACAGTCAAAAGTCAGTTGAGACTTGAGACCAAATAAATCTAAACATGTTGAAAAATCCCATTATTTT